GTCTGGGGTGGCATCCCCTCCCACCCCACTCCAGACCCCTCATAGCCCCCCCTTCTGATAGTCCAGCATATCTGATAGTCCGGCACCCCCTGGGTCCTAAAGGTGCCGGATTATTGGAAGATTACTGTAGTTTGTTATAGAAACTGTTGGTCTCACCTAATTGAGGCCTCTAATGTACATCTACACAGCAAAGAAAACGTCAATGCCAGCTGACTTCAGTGCTACTGGGCTTAGCTACGGGGGTGTTTCATTTCTCTGTAGATTTTCCAGCATGGGCTGGAGCCCAGGCAATAAGACCATGCAGTGGGAGAATCCCAGAGCTCAAGACTGAAAGTTTGTATTGCAATGGAACAGCCCTGCAGCCCAAGACCCACAAGCCTACATTAGCTGGTGCTAGGCAAGCCACATGCTTTGTTGTGTCGACATGCCTAACAGTCTTGATTTCACTGTGAAGCACCGTGAATTTGTCTAGAAGCTTGTTTGAAAGTTATAGGACTTTGGTATGAAGGATTCAGCTTCCTGACACTTAGTATAACACTATATAGCTAATCAATCCTGAAACTTTGGGAATGACTGAGACTTTGGTCTTAAACTGCAGCTGTTTAAATGCTAACCAGTAAGTGTCTCTATGTCTTTGGAGGGGGGATTTTTTTTAAACAAACAAAATATAAACATTTGAAACACTTCAGATCTTGGTGATTTTTGCTGTAAATTAAATCAGTGTCTCATAATTGCTGCTTACTGGATAAATATCAAAGTGATACAATAATGAGATAAAAGGAAATGGGAGTTGCAAATAATATTAATTGACATTCTTGGTTTTTTTTCATCGAATAATTATTCACATATATAGGTCTTTATTCTGCCAACATGCGTTGAACATTCAACTAACTGATCTAATGGATAGAGTACTGGACTGGGATTCAGGTGACCTGGGGTTTTTGTCACAATTTTTCATTAATTTATCAGTTACTTATACCTAAATGTTCCTTAGACACATGTAAGGGAGGCAGAGTTCCCAGACAAGCACCTCCAAATTCTTTGCTTTCATAAAAAGAAAGTAAATTTCTAGCCTTCACATCAGTGGTTCTCAAACTTTTTGGCTCATAGACCACCTGGCTCAATGCAAACCATTCTGCAGACTACCAGTTGTTAATGGAAACTCACTGTTAATTACATAATTACCCCTGAACCATTTTGCTAGTGCTGCAGCTAAGGTGAATAGTTTAATTTAAATTATTAAAGAGATTAAGCATTTTAACGTTCTCATACTAGTTTATCAAACTTCATTTTAAATAAAGTAAAATCGTAATTTATGTCCAACACAAAAGATTTCAATGTTTTCTTTATTTATGGGAGCCTTTTTTGGGTTGTGGGCCACTGACCCACAGAAAAATCAGTTGGCAACTTCATAAGTGAGAAGCAAAAAACTCCTCCAAAACCCCCCAACACTGACTGATGTGGCCCCCAACTGAGACACCTCACCTCTCTGGTGCTCCTGCCCCTTAGGATGAGGAGAATGGCTGAGTTCAGGGTTTCCCATAGATCAGATTTACTTTTCTGGGATTTTGGGGTTAGTGGATTTGGTGTACCCCCTTTGGCTCTGGGGTGGGGACAAAAATGGGAGGTTCAGTGTGCGGGACAGGGGTGCCAGCGAGTGGGATAGGGATGGGGGTGCAGAATCAGGGCAGGACGTGGAGTGCAGGAGGGGGGTGAGGGTGGGAAGTAGGATGTGGAAGCAGGCTTGCGAGTAGAGTGTCTGGCCAGGGGGAGGGAGCAAGACAAAGGGAGGGTGCAGTGTGTGGCCAGGAGGGAGGATGCAGAAGCAAGGATGGATGCAGGAGCAGGGTGGGTGTAGGTGTCTGGCCGGGGGGGAGGTGCTGGAACAAGAGAGGATACAGGAGGGGGCTTGGGATAAGGTGTCTGGCCATGAGTGAGGGTGTCTGACCACGAGGGAGGGTGCAGGATCAGGCTGGGGGAGGGTGTCAGGCCAGGAGGGAGGGTACAGGAGAAAAGGAGGTTGCAGAGTCTGGCCAGGAGGGAGGGTGTAGGAGCAAACTGGGTCTTGGCAGGGTAAGGGTGAGTGTGGGAGATTGGGGTATGGGGTCTGGGCATGAGGGGGGATGCTAACCTGGTTTTGTGCCCTGTTGCTCCCAGTGGCTGGCTAATGGCAACAGTGGGGAAAACCTGCAGTCAGTGTGTCATTGCGCTGCATTCTCCCAGCAAGATGGGTGGGGAGCTCAGCCTGCTTCCCACACAGCAGGGATCCTGGGCTGGGTAGAGATGAGGGAATCCTGGACCTTCCCCTCCAGACCAGGATCGTGGAAAGCGGCAGAGAAAACAGCTCTGGGCTCTCGTCAATAAGAAATGACCCCCAGTCTCATAGCAATACCACCAGATCCCACCATCCCATAAAGAAGCTGCAGGGGAAGCAGAGAAACTGCTGCATGGTGCTTGTTTGTGCCACTGGTGATTTGCAATTTCAGTCGTTCTGCACTGAGCCAGCGGGTCCAGCAAGCAGGGTGCCTGGCATGAGCGCACCAAGTGGAACCCATGCCAGGCTCCCACACACGCCTATTCAGAGCCCATTCCTATGCCTGGTGCTGCTCTGATATCAAGTCTGTGGCAGCCCTGCTGCAGGGGGCCCCACACCTCACCCTTTGTAGTCCACATTGGGCTTAAAGTTTACTTGCCCACTGCTGGGACAAAAGTCTCCAGAGAAGGTGCTATGGGAGCCCACTGGGAATCAAGTCCTATGCACAGGCAGCCCACCCGACCCCCAGCAGCTCCCACTGCAGCAGAGATCTGGCACCCACTAGTTCCCCGCGCAGGCAGGTGCAGAGTGCCCAGCCTCAATGCCTCCTTCCGGGGGATGAGCTATGCCTCTTGCTGCCCACAGCACTGCTCAGAGCCACAACTTGCCCCAGCCTTGCACTGCTCCACGCACCCAATCCTGCGCCAGCTTGCATTGGCCAGGTACACCTGGAACCCGGTGACAGTGCCCCCAGAGGAGCGAGAAGGGGGCAAAATAGACAATCCCAACCATGGCTTGCCGGTGTCGGTGCTGCTCCAGCCACCTCTATTCCAGTGGTGGAGAATAGGGGGGCTGAGGTCAAGTTGCAGAACCTGTGGCAGTGGACCACTGGTGGTCGGAGGACAGCACTTTGAGAACCGCTGCTTAAGAGTGATGAAGAAACTTTCTAAACCAGAATCAAGGGCTCCCAAGAGCAGAGATGTTTTTTTTACTCTGCTCTCAGCTAGCTCCAGTGCCTTTGTTTCTGCTCAGAGTTTTGCCAACGTGTATTAGGGGAAGCACTCTCCAGACTCTGGCCAATGTTCATGGCTGCTATTAAGGATGTAGTGAGCAGCAGTGAAAATGGACAAGAATCAGGTCACAACAGCGCAGCTGGGCATAGCTATGACTAGTGGCAGAAGTAGGCACTGCAGCTATTCATTGTAAAGGGAAACTCACAAATAAAGGCTGGCTGGGGGAGAGAAAGAGACCTCACTTGCAGCAGCCTGAAATCAGAGGGAAGGATAAAGGAGCAGGGTCTCCCCGTCTTTCCATGTGTGTTGCAGCAGTCCAGAATACGGAGGGGAGAGTTTGGGATGGTAGAGGGGAACAGAGAGAAAGGGAAACTCCTTCTTTCTTCCAGCAGCCAGATAATTAGGGCCAGAGGTGAGGGAATGTAAGTATCAAATTAATCAGATACCCATTGCTGGAGGTTACTATGAAGGATGGAGTCCCCAAGGAATGTCCAGGGACAAATTCCTATTAGGAATCCCAGCACACTTCCCTTTCCAGAAGCTGGGGCAAAAGGGGAAACAATGACTTATCAGTTACTACTATTAGTGTCAAGTCGCTAAATCTTATGTGCAAGCAGATCTGAGTGAAGGAGTGTGTGGAAGTGACAGTATTGCCTAATCAAGCTTCATAAACACAGAGTTAGGCTTAGGCAAAGTCATGACATTGGATTAAAATTTATGAGGCTGGCTTAGATGTATTTGGAACTCTTTTTATCTCCTGTTTTATTAGTTTTTAGAGTTCCCTTTTTCAAACTTTTCTCCATAGAACATTTTTTGTTTGTTTTTAATTTGAGATTCTCACATAATCACAGGGTCCAGGAACTGGGGCTTGGGGAAAACATCAGATATCATGCGAGTTGGTAGCACTAAGGTGGGTAGCAGTGGAAAAAGCCAGAGAATCACTGTACCATAGACTCATAGAATATCAAGGGTGGAAAAGACTTCAGGAGATCATCTAGTCAAATCATTTGAGCAAGGCAGGACCAATCCCAACTAAATCATCCCAGCCAGGGTTTTGTCAAACCTGGCTTTAAAAACCTTTAAGAATAGAGAATCTGCCACCTCTTTAGGTAGCCCATTCCAGTGCTTCGCCACTAATGAAATAGATTTTTTCCTAACATCTATCCTAGATCTCCACCACTGGGTTTCCAGCTAATCAAACCAGAGTCCCAAACACTCCAAAAGGGAATGGTATCAAAACTGTCTCAAGATGAACAATGTTTGTTCTGCCACTACTGAAAACAGCCTCCCTCTATCCTCTTTGCAGCTCCTCTTCAGGAAGTTAAAGTCCAGAGGGGTGGGAGAGAGGACAGAAGGAAAAAGAATTGAAAGTAGCTTGGGAAAAATATATAACTATTTATTTTAAGAAAGAAAAGACAGACAAAGTGGAAGTCTGACAACAAAGCAGGTCTAATAAAACAGACAAAGTGGAAGAAAGTCTGACAACAAAGCAGGTCTAATAACATAAGAAATATGTAATATGATAAATTACATTAAAATATTAGCTAGAAAGTTGATTGTTAAGTTGCAATTAAATACACTGCCCACAATTCCTTTAAATTAACAGGGCTAGGCCTTCAGTTTTTTAGGCTAATGTAGGTATTATCCTGGTTATAAATTTATTTCTTAGACTAACAGGTACTAGATAATTTTTTTATGTCCTGTAGCAATGTACATAGGTAAAATATATTTACCATGACAGAAATGTATGCCATTTCCTGTGAATCCTGAGAAGCAATAGCAGCCTTGCACTCCACCTTTAACTTGACATTCTGCATCTTTATGGCACGTCATGTTGCAGTTCTGAGAAGTGTAGCCATAGTCCAGCAAAGTGGACATAAACACTGAAAAAAATATAAACCATGTTTGTTTCTAAAATGCACATTGAAGTCTAAAATCAGATATGGGAAGGACATACACAGCCAAGTGGGGGCATTCCAGCAAGCAGACACATAAGTGAACACAGTGACTACGTCTAGACTGGCCCCTATTACGGAATAGGGATGCAAAGCAGGCAAGTCAGAATAGGGAAATCCGCGGGGGATTTAAATATCCCCCGCGGGATTTAAATAAACATGGCCGCCGCTTTTTCAGACACATAAGTGAACACAGTGGCTACGTCTAGACTGGCCCCTATTACGGAATAGGGATGCAAAGCAGGCAAGTCAGAATAGGGAAATCCGCGGGGGATTTAAATATCCCCCGCGGGATTTAAATAAACATGGCCGCCGCTTTTTTCCGGCTTGGGGAGATGCTGGAAAAGAGCGTCTAGACTGGCACGATCCTCCGGAATAAAGCCCTTTACCGGAGGATCTCTTATTCCTACTTCGAAGTAGTAGGACTCAATGACCTTTCAAGGTCTGTTCTAGGAGATAGGCAATCTCCAATGATTTATTTATAATAGAGGCTTATAAAATCACAAGTGGCGTGGAGAAAGTGAAGAAGTGTTATTTAGCCAGGGTTCACGCAATGAAATTAATAGTTAGCAGCTTTAAAACAAACATAAGAAAATACTTCTCTCAATGTGAAGTCAACTTGTTGAATTCATTACCAGGGGTTACTGTGAAGGCCAAAAGTATAACTGGGTTCAGAAATGAATTACGTAATTTCAAGGAGGATAGGCCCACTCGTGACTATTATCCAAGATGATCGGTGACACAATCCCATGCTCTGGGCGTTCCTAAACCTCTGACTAGCAGAAACTGGAACTGAACAACAAGGGATATCTCACTCGATAAATTGTTCTGTTCTGTTTATTCCCACTGAAAAAACCTTGCAGGAGCGACTATCAGAAGCAGGACATGGGGCTACAAACAGCACTGATCCTACAAACCCAGTAGGACCATTCTTATGTTTTAATGTACATAGAATGGTAGCACTGAAGTGATGCAAAGGATTGAAGCTCCAGTCCTGCAAACTTACTCAACAAGACTACTTACAAATTAAAGTTCCGTATACATGTAAGTCTTTGGCGGATTGGAACCTGTATTCAACAAATTTAAAATGGTGGTCAACAAAGAAGGTTCATAGTGGATTGGGAAAAACCTTTTCAAGATTTTCAAAGCTCTCTACTCCTTCATGCTGAAAATGGGATATTTGCCTCTGTATCCAGAATTATACAAGGAATGTAATCCAAACTGCCCAACAATAAAAAGATAAAATACCAGTGAGAGTTCCCCTGATCAGTTTTAAAGCCACGTCTATCAATACTAGTTAACATACACCATAGTTACAATCTGAGAAAAGATTAAATTCCCACAGGACAGCTTTTATAGCATTATCATTTAAAAAACCCTTCAAATTATTTTAAAGGAAATCTTTTAAAATATTATGTCTGTCTTCCCACAGTGCTACCTTCTATTTTCTTCCACCCAAGGATTCCTGAATTAAGACACTCCCCCTTCCCATTATATACATGCATATAGTTTTCAACACAAAGAAAGTCAGAGATAATGCTGACTGAGGAAACAGTTCACAAAAAGCTATACACACTTATTGACATGTTAAAAATATATAGTTAAAAAAATCAGGCAGCTAACACCAAAGAGAAAAAACATTTCTGACTTTGTACTTTACAAACCATTAGAAAGACATACGCAAAATTACAAAACATACAGCTCCTTCTTGGTATTCCCTGCTGCAATTCTTCTCTCAACCAAAATATCATACTGAATATTTGCTAGTCTAATATTATCGTCACAGCTTTCACTGCCCCAGAAGAGTTCATTGGAAAGCTGCTTTTCTGAACATATAAGAAATTCACAAAAACCTCAAAAGATTAAAAATTACACATTTGTTTAAAATTAATTCACTTCCTACCAAGTTTCATCTTCTCACTCATTTATTTTTACTCTACAGAACGTTTTTCAGATATTGGAAGCAAAAAAACTAGGGGAGAAGTGAAGTCCAAGAACCTTCCTAACCAAGAAAAATCAATAGCTGTGGTTGTACAGAGCAGATCACAGAATGAAATAAATGTAAGCACTTGAGGGATTCAGAGAGCGAATACCTATGTCCACTGAGATGCTAGGGTAACCCTGATAAGATGTGGTAGTTAAACATAGTAGCAGCACTAACTAGACTTCTGGGAGCCCTTTAATCACTGTTACCCATGAGCTTTCCCCTCACCTGCCACTGACTCCATCCTTTGCTTAGTCCTTGCAAAGTTGTCCCCCAGTTTCATGTTTCCAACCCCTTTGGCCCCCTTCGTCCACATGCCCCTCACTTATTTAAGAAGGAGAATCACCTACCTAGGAGTGGGAGCAGTTTCATTGGTAGTGCGGCTATGCAGCGCTTGGTGTTGAGCCCTTGTCTAACAAAAGAACCTGCCCTGCCTTAGATTGTATGAGCATGTGCAAACTGTCTGCACACGCCCATTAGGAACATGAAGCCCCAGTGAAGCAGCTGCCCTAACCTTGCTCTTTGCCCTAAGCCTCATTTCCCCAGAAAAACTTCCTTAGTGATTCAGGAGCTAGGTAGAGAGGGTAGAGGAGAGGAACAGATCTGCAGGGGAAGATAAGGAGCAGATGTGAAAGCACAAGGAAATAAGCAGGCAGTGGTGTGGTATGGAGGGTGTTGGATCAGATTAGGGGTTGAGTAGGCTAGAGGAGCAGTTTGAGGGGCTCAGAGGGCAGGGGAGGGATGGGGAAGCAGATTGTCAGTGTGAGGCAATGGAGCAACAATTGGTGGGGGTGAGGGATTGCAGGCCAGATAAGGCAAGGTCAGCGGCAGGGAGGATGGAAACAGTTTTAGGCAGTGAAGTGGGGGTGGAGCAGATCAGGACTGGGAGAGTAGCAGTCAGCATGTACACAGGGAGGGAAGGCAGTGCAGATTGGAACAGGGGAATGGTGGCCAAATCACAGAGGGTGGGAGGGCCAGACAGTGGAGTGCAGGGGCTGGCAAGCAGCTCAGAAGCTGCTTGTGCCTTCCCTGACTGCTCCTTCTCCAAACCTCACACTCCTCTCAGAGTGAAGATGCTGGCTGACCGTAGTGCTCTTGTCTCTATTGCTTTTCTCATTTTGAGGGAGGTCCGGATGGCTGCCAAGCGCTGTCCCTTTAAGGGTAACAACCTGAGAAACAGTACAGGAAATCCATTGACTTCTGCTTTGTGAGGAAAACAAAGATATGGGTACAGGGCGGAAGGAGGCAGGAAGGCAAATGCATGGCTGGGAATGTCAGGAGCAGAAGGAGCCAGCATTTCTAAGGATTTATATGACCGATGCAGAAAGTTGTGCAGTATTCAGAAAGGTTGATTCAGCGAAGTATTTAGGCACAGGTTTACTGCTAACGATTGTCATAATCTGATTCCTAGTCAGCAAAGCGTGTGAATCAATGGGATTTTAGCATGTGCTTAAAATTACAGACGTGAATCGAAGCCTAAGCATTCAAAGAAAGCATGTGTCCTATTCAGATTAGGAAGACCATTCTGTAGGAGACATCCTTTTTCTCTCTCAAAATTCATAGCAGGTTATATTGAAATGGTCTCTTGTCTCTGGCCTCCAGTCAAAAACGCAGGCCATCAGAGGAAATGTACCAGGTAGGATAGGTACTGTCATTATTCCAGATCCAACAATATTGCGGTGCTATTTTGATCCAGGCACAGAGATTAGAATCAAAGAAGGCCCATCGGCTGGAATGGAAACTTCTGATGAATGGCATCTGCTGTGCAAAGAAAGCACAAGGGGGATGGATGATAAGAGCAGAACAGAAGATGAAGGTGGTGAGGAAACTGAGAATGAAATGAGGAACTCAGATCAGACTGAGCTGGCAACAGGGAACTAGGGATTTAGGAATGTCTGAATGTGATCTTAATACTGGGAGGGTGGATTATTTTTGCAATAGAATACTGGAAAAATTACATCATCTGTCAATTGGATTCTGCAGAGAATAAGATTGCTCTAATCAAGGATGGAGAGGATGATAGAAGGATTCTGTGGTTAGAATTGAAGATTTCAGTGTCATTTTGGAGTTTAAACCAGCTGGATTTACTGATAGTGTCTACCAGTATATAGGGATAAGGAGTAGGTTGTTATGTAAGAAGAGAAAAGTAGATACTTTCAAAATCTTCATGGTCAAAGTCTTCACAATATGTTGAAAAAAATTAGCAAGATATAATAAAATCTTAAATTGATAGTTGTGTGTAGTCATGTTTATTGACAGAGAAGGTTAGGGGTATATGCACGCACACACACATATCCCTTTGCATTTGAAATAGGGATGTAATAGTGTAGTCGATTAACTGATAAACCAATAAGCAAAAGCTTATAGATTAGTGCTATAGACTATACACATTTCCCTCCCCCCCGCCCGCCCTCCCCTGCCAGTAAAATTTTTAGCAGGCTGGCCAACAGCCTAGCTCAGTCCTGGTTCACACCGGTTCTGGGATCTATTTACAGGTATTAGGAGACAGGCGGGCAGGCAGCCCGGCTCAGTTCCTGCTGGGGGTCCAGAAGCTCAGACCCTTCTTGGACAGGAGATCCTGCCACCTGCGGCCTTTGTATCTGCAGCAACCAGTCTGCGAGGGGAGCTGGTTTTTTTAAACTGGCTCCTCTTGTGGACCAGCTCCCACCTGGCACCCTGTGCTGTTGCCTCTGATACAGAGGCAGCAGCGCAGGGTGGCAGCAGCCCCTGTCTAGGAGGGCTTTGAGCTCCTGGACCCAGCATTAGCTGGAACTGAGCCGGGCTACCTGCCAGCCCGGCTCCTAAAATGCTTTAAATGCAGAGCCGCAGAAGGGTAGTGGACTCCTTGTGAGTGGGACCAGAGTGCGCTGGCTGCTGGTCCTGCCTCCGGGGACTTTGGAAAAGTCGACTAACCGATAAGAATTCATGAGGTTATGTGACTATTCAATTAACCGATATTTAACATGCCTAATTTGAAAATGGCATTTAAATAAAATTACATGTCAAAAGGTGACATGGGTGTCAATGCTGAAAAATCACTACCACCTCCCTACAAATAAAGAAACAAACAAATGATTTATGACTGCACGGTAAATAGTCCCATTTGTGTGAGCAGGATCAGGGCCTTAGTTAGGCATGAACATATGTATATGTACAGATGAGGGTTCCTAAATTTTAAATTCTGATTTTTGATCGCTATAATCACAGAGATTAAAGTATCCTCTATCAAGCTATAAAGTTCTCAAATAAATAGCTGTGTGTTTGATGGGAAGACACCAGTGTGCTCTTAGAAATAATTGGATATGTTCCAGCATTTGCAGTATGAAGTTTATTTGCCTACAATGTTTTTGAAAGGTAATTTAGATGCTGATTATGCCAACAAGGTTACAAAGCTAAAACCCCACTGATGATGAATGGGGGTAGTTCTCACTTCCTCCGGCTTTGTCTTAGTCAGCTTGCATAACAGATAAATAATTGCCCTGTTTTTCATTCCAGAGACAACTTACACCACCAGAAAAAATTAAAAATCAAGTGAATGAAAAAGATTTGAGTTCCCAGTACCCTTCAAAAAAGCAACATGCAACAGAGCTGGGATACCAATAGGCAGTCTAGCTGGGGTTTTGCAGATCATATAAAAACTACCCCCTCTGTGGCTCTTCATTTAAAGTGTATTAGGAGCCAGGTGGGCAGGCGTTTGGCTCAGTTCCAGCTCATGCTGGGTCCAGGAGCTCCTGCCACTCTATACTGCTGCCTTTGTATCAGAGACAGTAGCACAGGGCAACAAGCAGTCAGTCCGTGAGGGACCTTTGAATATACCCATTTGAAGATAAGACATTAAAAATGGAAGCTGGACATTTTCCAAGGGGCATCCCATGTCCCATAGAATATATTATTGTATAGTCCATTTTGAGGCAAGGACTAGCATGTTGGCTATGTCTAGACTAGGGAGTTTTCCTGGGATACCAGAGGTATCCTGGAAAAACTCTGCCACATCCAGGGAATGTGTCTGCTCTTCTGACATTTTTTGAGGAAGAGCAGACAAGCTCTTTCGGAAGCCCTGTCTTCCTCATGGCATGAGGAAGAAGGGATCTTCCGAAAGAGGAAGTTTTTCTGAAATTTGGCCCAGTATAGACAGGCTAAATTTCGGAAAAGTCTCTTAAGGGAGGTGGAGACATAGCCCTGTAGCTCTCCTCAAATATGAGGTTTTGACTATGGGCATAAGAATGCATTTATGGCATTGGCTCAGAGGTCCTACCAAGCCCATTTGAGGTCTTTGTATCCCCAGCCCACATGTAGCTCAACTGCAGTGTACTTTTACATGTCACCCTCTTCTCACAGTCTCTCTCACATAGAGCTCTGTTCCAGCACACACGTGAGCACTGTCAGAAACTTTCATATATACAGGGCCAAATTAACTCTTCTGGCTGCCTGTGATTATTAGATTTTATGGGGCTCCCTAGGCTCTGGGATGAAGCCAAAAATGAAGGGTTCGGAACATGGTGTTCCCTCTAAGCTGCCCACAGCTTCACAGGTGATTAATTAGCCCAGCTCAGTCAGTCAACTTTGCCTATGGAGCCCTGAGCCTCTGGCTGGGTGGTGCTGATTGATCACCTGTGAAGCTATGCTGCTGGGCAGATTAGAGGAAACAACTGCACTCAGGGTATGTCTATACTACTACCCTAGTTCGAACTAGGGTGGTAATGTAGGCAACCGGAGTTGCAAATGAAGCCCGGGAAATTCAAATCCCGGGCTTCATTTGCAACTCCGGTTGCCTACATTACCACCCTAGTTCGAACTAGGGTGGTAATGTAGGCAACCGGAGTTGCAAATGAAGCCCGGGAAATTCAAATCCCGGGCTTCATTTGCAACTCCGGTTGCCTACATTACCACCCTAGTTCGAACTAGGGTGGTAATGTAGGCAACCGGAGTTGCAAATGAAGCCCGGGAAATTCAAATCCCGGGCTTCATTTGCAACTCCGGTTGCCTACATTACCACCCTAGTTCGAACTAGGGTGGTAGTGTAGACATACCCTCAGAGTGCAGAGGGGGTTGTGGGTTGAGGCAAAGGATTAGATGTGGGAGGAGTGTGGGCTCTGGGGTGGGCTGAGGATGAGGGTTTTGGGGTGCAGGAAGGGTTCCAGGCTGAGACCAAGGAATTTGGAGTACAGGAGCAGGCTCAGGGCAGGATATGGGGGTATAGCATCTGTGAGAGAGTTACGGTATGGGAGGGGTAGAAGGATAGGGTGTGAAGTGCTCAGACTCTACTATCAGTGAAGGGGCAAAGGGGACAGCCGCCCAGGCCCTGGTGATTTAAAATGGTGATTTTATAGTGGCAGTGGCTGGTGCCCTGGGACCTTTAAATCACAGCTAGAGCCCTGGGTAGTGCATGCTAGGCAGCGTTGAAAGGCTGGCTGGAGGAGACTTGTCCCAGTCCTTCTCCTTCTGGGGGCCCAGAGCCAATCTCCCTTAGAAGTCTTCAGCAGTCCTGGGAGAGTCTTACCT